AAGATCACAGTCACAGACTTGTGCACATTTGCTGTGAAGCGTTTTGTGTGCTTTTTAGTACATATAGTAATGTACAGTATTAGTCAGTGCAGCCTGGCACCAAAGAAAGTGCAGAGTAAGCGTTCTGGTAAAAAGAAAGTGCTGGGCAGTAATGAAGGTAACAGAAATGTGCAGAACAAAAATGGTAAGAAGAATATTTTAAAGAAAATAACCACTGAATTGAAGAAGAAAATTGTAGGAAAGCATGAGCAGGGTATTCGTGTGACTGATCTGGCCCTGGAGTACCTGATGGTGAAGTGACAATCTCCGCTATTTTTAACAAAGATGACATCAACGGAGCTGATGTGTAGTTTTCTGTGTTAAAATTTCATTATTTTCTATTTCTCTTTTATGCATCTGCTACATGGTGATTTCTCTATTCTCATATTTTCATGAGGGTATTTTATCATACTTTTGTCTCTAGTGTAGTTTTTGAACATATCTTTTAGGGACAGTCTAGCTATGATAGATTCCCTCAGTTTTGCTTGTGTAGAAATATTTTATTTTTCTTTCATTTTTGAAGGTTAACTTTCCAGCTTATAACATGCTAGGTTGGTAGGTTTTTCCTTTGAAGACTATGAGATCCCTCGATCTCCTGGCCTATAAGGTTTTTGCTGTGAGATCATTAATTAGTGTAATGGGAATCCTCATATATGAGCTTTTCTATTGCTATTTGTATAATTCCCTCTGTCTTCTGATTTTTGTAGATTGATTATAATATGCCTATGAGAAGAGTTTTTGGTCAAATTTATTGGGGTTCCTTTGAGCTTCCTGGACCTGGATGTCTACATATTTTGTAAAATTTAGAAAGTTTTCAATAAAAATGATTTTTTCTCTAACTTTTCCCCTTTCTGAAACAACCATGATTGCAATTATTAGTGCTCAGGAATGTTATTAATTTTTTGTGTTGATTTTGTATCCTGATACATTGCTGATTTGGGTAACTAGTTTTATAAGTCTTTTGGCGGAGTTTTTTTTGGGTCTTATATTTAAAGGATCATATCACATGCAAATAATGATAATTTGACTTCTTTTCCTATACATAGTGTGATGGTTTGATTGTATCAACTTGAGAAGTTTGGGTAAGAGAAGCTTTCTTCAATTTTATTGCCTGTTACTGGATTATTCAGAGTTTTTACATCTTCTTGGTTTGTTTGGTAATTCTTATATATCTGGGAATCTATCCATTCATTCTGAGTTCTCCAATAACTGGTGTATAGGTTTGTGAGGTAGTTGTCAGTAACATTTATTTTTAGCAGTGTTCATTATGATTTTACCTTTTTTCATTTCTAATTGCATTGATCTGGGTCTTTTCTATCCTTTTTATTAAATTAGCTAAAATTTGTCTTTCTTTTTTATTCTTTTGAAGAACCAACTTTTAGATTCATTGAATTGTTGTTTTTGGTCTCAATTTTATTGACTTTTGCTCTGATTTTTATAATTTCCTTCATTGTACTAACTTTGGTCTTGGATTTTTCTTGTTTTCCTGGGACCTTGCGGTGCATCATTAGGTTATTTATTCGCATTCACTCTGTTTTGTTATGTGAGCATTCACAGCTATAAACTTGCCTCTTAGGACTTCTTTCATTGTGATGCATAGTTCTGGTATTTTGTACTGGCATTCTAGAAACTGTCTTATTTATTTTGGTTCCTTGATTTCTTCTATAACGCTTTGTTAGTTAAAGGTGCATTGTTTAATTTCTGCACATTTGAATAAATTTTGTCATTAATTTCTAACTTCATTGTGCTATGATCTAGTAGTATTCATGGTATAATTTAAATTCCCTTACATTTACTTAAGCTTGCTTTATTGGCTAGTATGTGATCTATTCTGGAGAAAGATCAAGGGGAATATGAATTCTATTGTTAGGCGGAATGCTCTGATGGTATCTATTAAGCCCATTTGTTCAAAGATTTTGTTCATTCTGACATTTTTAAAAAATTTTTTGTCTAACTGATCTGTCCATTTGTGACAATGGAGTATGCAGATGCCCCACTATAATTGTGTTTATGTTTATCTGACCTTTAATGCTCATTAATACTTGTTTTGTGATGTTGAATTGATAAAGAGAAGTTCTGTAAATAGTCTGAAACCTACAAAATGTTAAGGAAATATAGAATAACCACTGTCTTTCACTTCCGTAATTTGCTTTGCTTTGCTTGTTTCTTAGGACAATAATACCAGAGGTTTCATTAACTACAAAGCTTGAAGGCACATAGCCCCAATTTAAAATGTTATAAGATTAACAGATACCGGCAGTGCTTAGCCACATCCCGGGTGAGCACATCCCAGTTGAGACTAGATGTTCAAACTAAGATAACAGTCTCCATATCCTAAGCCCTAAACTTTCTGTAAATCATATGACTATAAAGAAGTTAAGATGAAAGGGATGTCACCAGTCCTGCTTTCCTAACCCTGACCCCCACTCTTGTGGGCTAGAAATAGCTAACTAGGTGAATCCTAAAGACAAACATCCTAACCAAAATGAAGATGTTATATTTGGGTTAAAATTAAACTGTCTTGTGACCAGTATTTGTGATGGGAACCAAGAGAACTGGAATGTCTTATTGAACTACCTAAAATGAGGTCATGAATGTAAAACTACTATAAAAGGCAGATTGTAACCCAGCCCAGGGTTGGTCACTTGGCACAGCCCTTGGTGCAGGTCGACACTTTTGTAGCAAAGTAAACATTTTTTTTTACCTACTTCTGCATCTCTATGTGTCACTAACCAGTTCCTTCTGCAACAGGATGTGCTGTTTTTTGATACATATATGATTGTTATCTCTTCCTGTTGAATTATTCTCTTAACCAATACATAATGCCTTTTGCCTTTTTTGATCAGTTTTGTTTTGAAGTCTTATTTGTCTCAATATAAAATAGCTATCCCCTTTTTGGGGGCTTCTTTTGCATGGCATATTGTTTTCCATCTATTTTTTTGTTTTTGATAGGAGAATTTTGGCTCCTGATTTTTAAAAATTCAGTCCATGGTCCATAGGTCCCATGCAGAAAGGGCACAGTGGAATGGCCAGCAGAGAACTGTTCATACCATGGCAGCTAGGAAGATAGGAGAGAAGGATAGAGACTGAAAAGGAGATAAATCCTTCCAGGTTACACCACCAGTGACCATTGTCTTCTAAGCAGGCCTCACCTCATAAAAGTACATTCAACTGCCCCATAATCCAATCACTTTCCAAAAGCCCCACTTTTTAGCACATGATGTTTTTGGATGACATGCCATAATGTTTATTGTGGTAACATACTGAGAAAAACAACTTTAGGGAAGAAAGGTTTATTTGCTTTCAGTCTATGGTCTGCTGGCTCCTTTGTTTGTGGGCCTAAAGTGACAGTACATCAAGGCACAATTGCACAGTCAAACAAAGACGTCCACCTTAGAGCAGCTGGAAGCAGGAGGTTGGAGAAGAAGGGGAGGGAGGGAGAGTAGCAGGAAAGGGCCAGAGACAAAATATAACCTTCAAAGCCATGTGTTCAGTGACTGCCTTCACCCAGTTAGGTCCATCTTTCAATAACTCCTTTGAGCTATGAACTCATCAATGGGTTATTTCACTTGATGAAGTTAAAACCCTCACAATCCAATTTCTTTCCAAAGCTCATCAGCCAACAAGCAGCCTTCAACACACTGAGCGTTTTGGGAACATTTTGGGTCCTAATCATAACATGATGCCCCAGGTCCTCCAAAGATTCAAGCTTGTCTCACAATGTGAAATGCAAAGAGTCCATCTCCAAGAATCCCTAAAGTTTTAACAGTTCCAGTATTACTCAAGAGTCCAAATCTAAAGTATCTTCTGAGACTCAAAAACTTTTAACTATGAGCCCACGTTGAAACAAATCACATATGTGTACTTCCAAGATAAAATGGTATAAGGTACATATTCCCATTCCAGAGAGAAAAATGGGGGCATGAAAAGGAGGGAGGGGACTAAAGTGAAACCAAAATATAGCAAGGAAAACATTAAATCCTGTAGTTCTGTGTTCTGCATTTGCAGCATGGTTTGAGCCTAAGGGTTTGGGTGTCCCTGCCCCTATGGACTTGCTGGTTGCAGCACACATAGCCACCTTCCTGGGCTGGCTCTGCTGACTGTCTACAGACCTCACTGGCAGCCATTCTGTGTCCCTGGCCTCTGTCCCTCCCTATGGTCCCTATTGCAGCTTCAGCTTAATTGAATAGCTCTATACACTGCCTTCTTGGGGGCTCCTTGAAGGGATTCCAATGCTGTAACACATTGGTTTGCCATCCAGGACTTCCTGTGAAATCTTAATGGAAGCTTCCCTGACCCTATAATCCTTGGATTTTTTTTTGCCCTAAAAAGCCAGCTTCACATGAATGACACAAAGTTCTAGCCACCACTGCAGGTAGTATCAGGGTCCACTTGGGCCATGACTAGAGTGCCTGTTGAGTGCCTAGATGGCTGAGGGAAGAGAAATCCTTCCTTAGATGGCTCTGAGTGAGTAGGGTACAACAGTATCCTGTTCTCAAAGCAAAGTCTTTAAAATGAGTTCATATTTTTACACCCTTAAGCCTGTAAGGTGTGGGGTCTGCTTAATTCCTGAGATATCCATAAGGAATCTTTCTCCTTGTCCTGGTGGTTTCTTTTTATGTTGGTAATCTCTTCAGCAACCTTAACTTCCTTAGCACTGACATTGGGGCTTCTATTCTGGCCACATGACCAGCTTTTCAAATCTTTCCTTTCTGCTCTTTAACCCTGATTCTTACTGTAAATCTTGCTAAAAGCTTATTTCTCATTTTAAATCAAAAGCTGAAAATGATTAAGCATAGTGAGGAAGACATGTTGAAAGCCAAGACAAGCTGGAAAGTAGGCCTCTTGCACCAAACATCCAACTGTGAATGCAAAGTTCTTTGAGGAAAATAAAAGTGTTTCTCCAGTGAACACACAAATGACAAGAAAACAAAATAAGCTTTTGTTGACATGAGGGAAGATTTAATGGTCTAAATGAAAGATCCAATTCAAGGCAATGATCTGTTAAACCAAAGCCTATCCAGAGCAAAGCCCTAAATCTTTTAGCTGTAGCAGAAAAGTTTGAAGCTAGAAGAGGTTGCTTATGACAGTGGAAGTCTACCTGTGGCATGTGTGCGCAGTGGGCTGTTTGAAACATTGATGGCTCTAGTTTGGGGAATCATTGCAAATATGATAAACAATTAATAGTTTGGCATTGACTATTTTTGAAGGACACATAACTAGTCCCTTAGTCTATTCATTGCTGCAAAGGGAGAGTGAGCATAATTTGGCAACACTCTTCAAACTTAATGACTAGACATCATTTTTAATGAGTTGATCATCAATTTCTAAAGTTGAGCTGTCATTAGATTTCCAAAATAGTCTTTATCATCATCAATGAGACTTAGAGACAGGATTGAAACTAGCTGTGCATCCTGGAGGAATGCTGTGGATTAGTTATACATTGATGATGAGGAATATAATGGCTTGGTATTAGTTACTGAGTAATTGTGTGTCAGGCCCTGTGGTAACAGCTTTAGTTACTTTATCTGATTTCTGGAAGCAATTATGAAATGACCTGGGACAGCTCTGCAACCCATGGGTGTTATGGGTGAAGGCTTAGTGCACTTGAGGTTACAGGAAAAGTAAGAGAGCCTGTGTGTATCTTTCCTTACATATAAGGAAACTTGAACTTGGATTACTTGAAGGCACTCAGGTAGGAAGGGGGAAGTGGAAATCAAACTTGTGTGGTGTGCAGTTCAAACTGTGGCCACCACACTGCAGTGTTTCTCTGACACAGTAAGAAGCCATCTACCACCATGTTCTCTTCTTTTCCAGAATCCTGAATCTTGAGAAATCAGTTCCTATCAGGCCTTAGACAATGAGGGCTCCAAGCTGGCTGACAGCTTTTATTTAAAAATCACTCTAAGATTCCACATTCTGAAGAACAGAAGCTCTTATTTTCTTCTCATAAGTACCAATATGACTACCATCTTCTTTCTGTACTTCTCTAGGACAGACTTAAGCAGAAAGCCACCTCCCAAAACCTCTTGTTTTGTTTGAAAAGAGTATTATTATATCCCTGATAGGAAAACAGGACACACTGTCTCTTAATATGAGCTTCTTTACAGAAACAGGGTGCAACAGAATCTGAGTTCTGTTCACCTTGTAGGAGGAAGGACACACTTCTATTACTGTGGAATTAATCTAATGATAAAATCTAGTTAATTCCAGATCTGTATGTTGTTAACATTTTTATTACTAAGTGTTCCCAATACAACAAACAGCATCAGTAGTATACACTTTATTAAAAAGAACTTTTTAGCTTAGTAGAAAAGAAAGCTCAAAGATCAGAGTGTGATGACCACGTCCATCTTACCAAGACGGTGTGTGTCAATCTTTATCTCCTGTAGACCAAACATATGCACATGCAAGCAAACTAGAGAGAATTTCATTCCAGGGAAATTTTAAGTCTCGGAGATTATTGTACTATCTGGAATTTACCTTTCTAACCTTATAGAGATTCTTGCACAATGTAGCAGCAATTCTTTGGAGGCAGAGTCAATGGCTTCGGTCATTAGGTTATGAGTTAAAACCCCAAAATCCTTGTATATTTTGTGCTTTGAGAGGTCAACACAACTACATTTTAGTTTATAATATGTTTTTAGAGAGTTCAGGTACTCACCCCCAAAACACTAAGCTAACAATGTTTCTTTATGTAAAATTCAGGAAGCACAGCTCTATTTCACATACTTTAAAAAATGTTTCTACTTCACTATTTCATTAAGCAGCTAGTTAAGTTTCTATTTTATGTTTCCTTAAAAGGGAACAAGTCATCAAGTTTGTGTCAACTACTTTAGAAATGCAAAATATCTACATAACATCAAATTTGTTCAATTTTGGTTCTTTGAATTGGCTGGGGTGGTTTGCTTCAATTTTTCCTCAATGCACTGAATAAAGCACATTTCTATAGTTATGTCTCTCTAGTTTACCAAAGTATGTCATTGATATTAGTGTAAATATTTAGCACATAAAAATACTATCAAGAAAAAAAATCAACTTTTAATAAATAGTTTCAGTTCTGAATTCTATATACAAATACTTTACATCTACTCCCTTGGAGAGAGCATTTCTGGTTTTGCTGTGAGCAAGGTGACCACTGACATAAATTACTAGCACATTATTTCAGTCAAGATGCATTGTGGTTGTGAACATTTGGATATAAACCATACAGAAAATAAATAATCACTGACAAATGCTTTTTAAAACCTGCTTCCAAAGCCCTTCCATATTTGAATGTAAATTCCAGTTTGATGATACCTTTCTCAGTTACCAATATACAAATTATCCCATGTTTCCTTTGTGGTTATTATAGTACATCAAGTATTACTATTTGAATATCACCAACAGGAGGACTAAAAAACAAAACAAGAACATAGGACACCCAGACTTCAGTGTCGTCTTGCACAGGCACACTTACTTTTCCTGTGACCTCAAGTACACTAAACCTTCACCCATAAGGATGGAGGCCAAGGGGCACAGTGAGATTTGCTTTCTGAAGCTTCTCTCTCTCTTTTTTTTTTTTTTGTATCATTTAGGTACCATGTTGCTGATTTAACAAAAACCATACAGGAGAACACTGTACTGTCAGTAGCTGTAATTCTAACTTCTCTGTAGTATTGTGCTTTGAAAGACAACCCATGGAATGTTGAACAATTCAAATAAGGCAACACTCAATGAATGACAGGCACCCAGAACATCCATAAATGTAAGATAGTAAACAATCATTCTGAGAACATCTCTTAAAATAATATGAATTTCTGCAATATACAATATTTACACAACAGCTGAAAATTTGCTCATACAATATTTCTAATATAGATAAATAGGAATACAAGTCTAGGAATTCTTTGCCCATTTCCCAAATTTCTTCTTAAAGTGTAAACTGTTGGCATCTCTTTAATTTTTACTTTTTTTAAAATAAAGAATCAGTTGATATGCACAGCTCATTCTATTGCCTTTCTTCTTTAGGGAGTGACCAATGCAGCAACTTACTTTCCTTCTGTTAGTAATCTTTGGTGCTTTCTTCCAATGAATTCTGGCAGAGGAGTCCATGTGGCAGAGAAGGAGGACAAAAGCAATGAGAAAGAAAACCCACACCTTTTTTTTCTTCCACTGATAGCTAAAGGGAGTCAACGGTCTCTAACACTTTCCACTTTAACCAAGGTGAATGCAGCACCATCTGAAGGGGAGGATGTCCAGTTGTCTTTCTGATTCCGCATCTTCTGGATTCGTTTTCTCATCTTTCTAAGGTGGGTGAGCTAACTGGACGTCTCTTATGAATAATCTTTCCATCTTTCTTTGAGGTTCTTGTCTGAGAAGCACCTATCGAATCACTGACTTCAAGGAAGGGAGCAGCAACTACCTCTGAGTCTGAGTGGAGGTGGCCGCTCTTGGTGGGTGAGGAAGACGGCACAGAGAGCAGGCTTAGTGTCTGACTTCCGGCCTGCCGAGCCCGGCTCTGGGGTAAGTTAGCACCATCAGACTTGTGGTTTGGCCTGAAAGCAGGATGTGCATTTGGGCTTCCCACTGAAGAAACGCTACCCACACGTTTCTTCTCAGCAGGCATCTCTGCATAGTAAGAACCCAAAGGTGTGGGCATCACTAGAGCACTAGGGAGGTCAGTGGGGCTAAAAATGGCATCGCCATGAGCCTCAGCAGTTTCTAGAAGGTACGGTGGGGGCAGGGTGCTGTGCTTGCTGCATGACTCACAGCATAACTTGTTGTAACCCGGTATGGAGCAGTAACGGGCCAGCACCTCCATCTGACAGAATATGGACTTGTCACCCAAACATGGCTCATCTGCAGAGATTAAAAAGAAAAATTATTACACATATTTTAAATGTAAAGTAAAACAGGAAAAATTGAAACTGTAAATGATCATGGAAAGAGTTTGGTAGAATCTGACATCAGTGGGAACTGTCCACATGAACCTCTACATTAAAAATGCAAACATTAAGACAAATTTACTAAAGTCAATAGTTCTCTGTCTATAAAGTATTTGGGAGGCCCACATTGTAAAAGCTCTACCAGGAGTCTTTGGGTGACTGAGCATAGTTTTTTCTTCTGAGTAGGAACATATACCTGATTTTAGAATGAGAGAATTAATTTTACTACCAACATTTTAGGATAAAAAGAGACATCTTTTAAAAACTGTATTATATTGTACTTCTGGTTTTCTAATAGTATCTTCTATATTAAATTTAAAATCATACACTACAGACAAATTGGAATAAGAGATACCTTAAAAATATCTGACCAAAAAAAAAAAAAAAAAAAAAAAAAAAT